CGAAACGTGGACTGCCTACAGACGTCACACTCAACTCCTGGAACGATTCCATCAGCATTGACTCTGGGAAATCCTGCAAATCTCTTGGGAAGACAGACGGACAAATGTTAGTGTGCTTGTAGAAGCAAAGACCACCAGCACTGAAGTGATGCTCCTATGCCATCAACTCCACTGGACTGGCCATGTTATCCAAATGCCCAATCATCATTTCCCAAAGCAGATACTATATTCCCAATTCAAGAATGGAAAACGTAATGTTGGTGGACAGGAAAAGCCAACCTTCAAAACTGTGGCATCGACACTGAGAACTGGGAAGCCCTGGCCCCTTAACGTTCTAACTGGAGATCAGCTGTGGAATTCGAAGAAGCACTGGGCGAAATGGAGGGCGAAAGGAAGAAACATGCCAAGAGGAAGGTGTGTCAAGCCAACCCTGAGCAGGACTACCATCCACCTGGAAACCGATGCCCTCACTGGGTTAAGAGAACATGTGGGTCAAGAATAGGGTTCAACAATCACCTACATATCCGCCGCCAAGACCCTACACTTGGAAGTCCATCATACTAGGACAATGAGGAATCACCTAAGTAAGGAGTGATATTAGGACAGCTGGGACTTGCAGTCCAATATCATCTGGAGGCCTACATGATACCGATCTCTGTTCTATGAGAACAAAAAATTAAGAGGGGGGCCCAAGTATAAAACTGTTAAATTATCATTCTCTCAAGAAGTTTGATCTTCTAAATTTGTGACCTATATCAAGATCACAGCTGTCTGGTTCTCTTGAGGGCTTACTGTTGACATTGAAAACTTGGACCCCAAAAAATCCACAATCCGAAGGGGTCTGATCTAATGGCCAAGGAAGGTCCTGTTGGCTGATGACCTCATATACAGGGCTAATCTCCTTAATCCTCTGAGCGACTGACACAATCACCCAATACCCACCTTTCTGGGCCAACACTGAATCCCTCCATCTAACAATTAATTAATCCTTGCCCAGTACGAAAGGTCAATGAGTCACCCAGCGCTCTGCCTTTATCTCTCCTTGGGAACCCATCAAGGTGTTTCAGCACTCATTCTTTAATGAGCCAGGATCCATTGTGAAATCCTGGCTGACAAGATTAAACCCATCAAAGCCCATTAGCCCCAAACCTTACCTGCATTTCTTTCCTTAAGCGCCTAGTGGAAGTGGACACGGAAAATGGCTACAGGCTTCCAACTGAGCAATAAAAAAATTAAAATTCCCGCTGGACCAGGGAACCAATCAGCTGCAGCGACAGATGGCACACCTCCACCAATCTGTGCATGCAGCATAACTTGCACCAATCAGCCCCTGAAGAGACAACAGTCCATTATTTGAATATCTGTCAAGTCTCTATAAATGTCTCTATATGTATCTATTGTTTTATGTCTCTTTGACGTCCAATTTAGTGAATAAACCCCTGATCTTTGCCTTCACCCTGCTTGTGTCAATTTGAACCTTTGGAGCCTAGATACGCTGGGTCCCTGAACCCACGGTTACAAACTATTTACATAATACTGTAAATAGAAAACTCTCGTCCTTTATGACATATCAACTATGGTCAGCTAACCAGGAGTTGGTGTTTGATAGAGATGGAGAAAACTCCTATTCAACTGTTCTTCCCGACACTTTTCTCAGTATGCTTTTTACTGGTCAGATAGCCATGTATAAATACGTGAGGGGACGTCATAGGGAGGAGGAAGCAGGCTTATTTTCTGCTTCCCTGGAGACTAGGACATGGAACAATGGCTTCAAACTACGAGAAAAGAGATTCCATCTGAACATTAGGAAGAACTTCCTGACTATGAGAGCTGTTCAGCAGTGGAACTCTCTGCCCTGGAGTGTGATGGAGGCTCCTCCTTTGGAGGCTTTGAAACAGAGGCTGGGTGGTCATCTATCGGGGGTGCTTTGAATGTGATTTTCCTGCTTCTTAGCAGGGCATTGGACTGGATGGCCCACAAGGTCTCTTCCAATTCTAAGATTCTATTCTAGAGTGGGTGTTGCAATGTGAATTCCATGTTTTCTAATTTTATCCTCTGATTGTGATTTGCAGATGGCTAGAAAGGTCACATTCCAACGGTTTTTCCAAAAATTCATTTATTGCAACAGCTACCATAACACGCTTTTTCTAAAAAGTCGGCGGCTTTTTGCTTCGGTCCAATTAAAAGATGTGAAATTGACAGCTGTGGTTGGCTAAGAAGAAGTGGGTGCTTTATTCCCATCTGGCTGTGAACATTTATGGGTGCAAACCAACAATATGCCAACAGTAATGCTTCATCTGATGACATGGACATTAGTTCCTGAAATTTAAAACCATAAAATATCTGTATCCAGAACTAACTCTCAAAAGCGTAAATGAGGCGTCCCCCATGAATAAGCTTCCGTAAGATATAATTCATGATTTTTAATGGGAAAAACTTCTGATTTTTTTTAAAAAAAATATTAGTGACAGGTTTTTCAACATGGTCAGTGGGGTTTACTCCCTTGAAGAAGTTGTATCTTTCAGGTGCCAATAGATATTGGTATTTTTATTGATTTGCTGTAAGAGATTTTACACTTTTCAGTTAGAGTGTGATGCCTTAATGGAATTAACGGAAGAACCATTTATCTCCCAGGCTTCCCACATGGGTTTTCTCTAATGTTAGTCACTTATGTTGTACATTTTGATCACATGTAATGTTCAGGGAGCAAAGGGATGCACCTTAGAGAACGAGAGAAAAAAAGTTGTAGCACAAACCTTCAAAGGGTGCATCTACACTGTAGAAGTAATGCTGTCTGATCCCACTTGAACTGCTATGGCTCAATACTGTGGAATCCTGGGAGTTGTAGTTTGGCACTCTTTGGCAGAGAAGGCAAAATACCATGTAAAACTATAGCTCCCAGTATTTCATAGCAATGGGCTATGGCAGTGTCTTGTATAAAACAATATGTTAAATATAAAACATTGCAAAGCCACATTTTTCAGTATTTATTTATTTACCACATTTATATGCCGCCCTTCTCATCCCGAAGGGTAATGAGTGGTACCCCAATAGCAACCAATCACAGCTCAGCTTTCATTTCTTTTTTTTAATCCAGTTTTATTAAATTTTACAAATGCTTAAAAAAAGAAAGATTTCTTAAACTACTGAGGTGAAATGTCATCTGTTCTGTGATTGGTTGGTTTTTTCCTACACTGCTGAGGTAAAAGGAAAGGTGTGCAGTGATTGGTTATGCCATCTACCTGATCTGTGATAGGTTATTTCTTAAACTGATGAGGTAAAAGGACAGCTAGTTTTACTGTTAAAACACATGTGTATTTTTGAATGCAACCGTTGTAATAATTTCATTTTACTATTAAAACACACGTGTATTGGATAGTAACTCTGTTTTAAAATTTCAAGTTATTCGGGCGTCTACTTTTCAAGTTTTGCATGCACAAACATATACGCTGATATTTTATAAAGATACTAGCTGTCCCCTGCCACACATTGCTGTGGCCCAGTCTGTGTATATGTGTTTTGTGTGTATATTTGTGTATATGTGTATATATGTCTGTTTGTGTGTATATATATATATGTGATTTTGCGCATGTTTTGTAATGCATTTTTATTTTTTTGCTTTTTAAGTCTCTTCTGCTGTGTTTTTCAGGTTTTTATGAGTGATGGTCACTCATTGCCTGATAGTGTATTGTGTCCCAAATTTGGTGTCATTCACCAGTGGTTTTTTATGTTTTTCTTTCCTCTTTCCTCTCCTTTCTTCCTTCCTCTCCTTTCCTTCCCTTCCTTCTCCTTTTTCTTTCCTTCCTTCTCTTCTCCTTTTCCTTTCCTTCTCTCCTCTTTCCTTCTTTCTTTCTCTTCCTTCCTTCCTCTTTCTTTTTCCTTTTCTCCCTCTCCCTTTCCTTTCCTTCTCCCCTTCTTTCTTTTCCTCTTTCCTCCTTCCTTTCCTTCTCTTTTCTCTCATTTTCTTTCTTCTCTTCCCCTTTCCTTCTCTTCCCTTCTTTCTTCCTCCCTTTTTTTTCTCTTCCTTCTTCCTTTTTTCTCTTTCCTTCCTTCCTTTCCCTTTTTTCTGTCCTTCTCTCTTCCCTTCTCTACCTTTCTTTTCCTTCCCTCTTTTTTCCTTTTTCTTTTCCTTCTTACCTCTTCCCTTCCTTCCTTCGCTCTTTGCTTCCATGCTTCCTTCTTTTCCTCCCTCTTTTCCTCCTTCTTTTTCTTTCTTTCTTTTCCCTTTCTCTCTTTTCCTTCCCTTTCTTTTTCTCTTTCTTTCTTTCATTATTTAGTTTTTTTAGGGTTTTTAAGTCTTTCCACTGTTTTTTTTGGGGGGGGGGGAGGGGGCGGTTATGAGTGATGGTCACTCGTTGGTTTGTTAGGGGTATAGTGTCCAAATTTTGTGTCAATTCGTCCAGTGGTTTTTGTGTTGTTAATCCCACAAATGAACATTAGCTGTCCCCTGCCACACGTTGCTGTGGCCCAGTTGGTGCATATGTGCTTTGTGTGTGTGTATATTTGTGTATATGTGCATATACGTGTTTGTGTGTGGCTTTGCGCATGTGTTATAATGCATTTTTAAATTTTTGGCTTTCTAAGTCTCTTTTTCTGTGTTTTTCAGTGTTATTATGAGTGATAATCACTCGTTGGCCTGATAGGTGTCTTGTGTCCAATTTTGGTGCCAGTTCGTCCAGTGGGTTTTGAGTTATGTTAATCCCACAAACAAACATTACATTTTTATTTATATTGAAGATAGATATACACACCCGCACACACTTATTTGCAGGCTAAAGACCAGACCTCTGCAACCCTAACCCTCTCCCCACTCCCCTTTGAGCCAGATTTCCCGCCTTCTTCCTTCCCTTTTTCCTTCTCTGTCTCTTCTTCCCGCCCCTCACAAACCTGCTACGTCACAGGCACCGAAGCCAATAGGACGTGAGGAGGGGCGGGGCTAGGAGAACGCGGGAAGTCGCGTGGCGGGAGGGAGGGAAGGGGCCGGGCCTTGTGAAGCTTTGGCAATTGTCCCGCCCCTTCCGAGTGGAGGAGCCTGGCGCGCGGGAAAAGAAAGCGCGCGGAAAGAAGGGCGAGAGGGAGGAAGCCGGAAAGCAAGGGCCGGCGAGGAAGCCACTCTGCGGAGAAGGCCGCCCCCCCCCCCCGCCACCCACCCTGGGATCCTCCCCGAGCGCCGCCCATGGAGAACTTCCAGAAAGTGGAGAAGATCGGCGAGGGCACCTACGGGGTGGTCTACAAGGCGAAGAACAAAATCACGGGCGAAGTGGTGGCCCTGAAGAAGATCCGCCTGGACACGTGAGGGCGCAGGCACACGTGCACGCCGTGGGCGCGGTTCTTCGAGGGGAGGCTTGCTCCGGAGTCTGTCGGGGAGGAGCTTGGGGAGGCTTCCCCGCCTTTGGCCTGGGCCAAGAGTCCCCAGGAAGGGCGTGGAACAGTGGCTCTCAACCTATGGGTCCCCGGAAACTCCCAGAATTCCCAGCCAGTTTACCAGCTGTTAGGATTTCTGGAAGTTGAAGGCCAAAACATCTGGGGACCCACAGGTTGAGAACCATTGGCGTAAAAGTCGTAGGCTGTTAGGAATTGTGGGAGTTGTAGTCCAAAACACCTGGAGGGCCGGAGTTGCCCCATGCCTGGTGTAGATGCACCCTGGGTTACCTCAGTAGACTTAAGGTGGGAAGACTGTTTTGATTATGTAGGTAACTGATGGGTGAGAGAAAGCAGTATCTATGATATAGAAGTTTGATACCGTTTGGGCTCCCTTTTCTGGAATTCCAAAATACCCCAAAGTTGTCCCCAAGGGAGTGGCTGAAATGGCAACACCTTTGCTTTCTGGTGGTTCATTGTACACAAACTTTGGTTCCATAAACAAAATTATTAAAATATTGTGTACAACAGTGGTTCAACTCCCAGAAATCCTCACAGCTGGTAAACTGGCTGGGATCTCTGGGAGTTGTAGGCCAAAACACCTGAGGACCCACAGGTTGAAGACTACTGGTGTACAAGGTTAATGTCAGGCTGTGTGTACAATCGGGTGTATGAATGTAGTGTGTAGATTTGGATCAATCTTCCAAGTTATCTCCTTTGCTGTGTGTATACAAATAAAGGTATTCCAAAATCTAAAACACATCTTGTTCTGGGCATTTCGGAAAAGGGACGCTCAGCTTTGGACTGTGTTAGCTGTCATGTTGCCACCTTACAAAGTCCTGGTCTTGGTGGTTTGGGTGAGGTATCTTTGGGATTTGGAGTTAGTTGAATATGCCCACACATTTGTTTGTCTTCAACTACTTTCAATCTTATGGTCAACCTAAAATGACCCTATTGTGCAGTTTTCTTGGCAAGATTTGTTCAGAGGTTGTTTACTATTGTCTTCCTCTGAGACTGAGTGCCCTTCCACACAGCCAAATAACCCAGAATATCAAGGCAAAAAAATCCCACAATGTCTGCTTTGAACTGGGTAATCTGAGCCCACACTGCCATATAATCTAGTTCAAAGCCTCGGGAGGCCAGGGGACAGCACCATCTTGTCTCCTGCATATGCCATCAGCTGGAGACCCCTCCCCTCAGCACCAACTGCCTCTCTGGGCCAGAGTGAAGGGGGGGGGGAGGGGACAGTTCCACTTTGTCTCCTGTGCTATTCTAATAATATATAATATATTGTATATACATATAGTATTTATAATATTATAATGTAATGCAATGTAATACTACTACTAATAATATGATATTATGATTATATATTTATATTACATGTAATATTACTAAAAATATTACAATATAATTGGTATAGTACAATATAGCAATATTTAAAACTGATATTGTACTATGCTAATAATATAATATATTTTATGTATATATACCTTGTAAGCCACTCTGAGTCCCCTTCGGGGTGAGAAGGGCGGCATATAAATGCCGTAAGTAAGTAAATAAATAAAGCAGCTAATGTGGGCTTTTATTTAACTGTATGGAAGCCTTGTCCAGTGGGTTGCTATCAGGGCTGAGCAGGAGTTTGAACCCTGGTCTCAAACCAGAACTAGCAGAGATAATTGTAAACACCTTCTTACAGTACAAATCCCATGTTTCCATAGAATGGCCCACAGCACATTGAAAGGAGGACTGTAATTGCTATCAAAGGTAGCAATATAAATATATTTTGACTTCCATTGCAGGAATGGCAGGCAGTGCTGGAGAAAATGAATTTTCTTTGTTGCTTGGGTTTCACAGGGAGGCAAGTGACCGAATTACTTTTGGAGTGAGAATAGTAAAGGAAACCTGGTCGTGGTTTGCACCAAACTTGATCTGTGGGACCTGAATTTCCATACCTTTCAACAAGTTGGGGTAGTTCTTGCCTCTGCATGGAGCTACTTTAAATATGTGCAAAGTGATTTTTCTTGAGTGAGCATAAGCCAGTTCTTGCATCTCAAGCTGTATATACTTGAGTCATTTGCTTTACAAGGTGCTTCGTTCGGTGGTGGTACTATTGTAATAATTGTGTTTGGGGGGGGGGGGGGGAATGTGGCTTGTTCTTTTAGAAAAGAGTTTTCCAGTTTTTAACAATATGTATGCATGGTTTTTTTTTTTTTGTTCGGTCATACTATGTGATAATTTAAGGATAGACGACCTGGAGCAAAACCATATGTCGTTCAGCCCTGTCGTTTCATCCCCTCCCTTCTCACCTTGTCTTTCCTGTTTGCTTCCAGGGAAACGGAGGGAGTCCCAAGCACAGCCATCCGGGAAATCTCACTACTAAAGGAACTGAACCATCCCAACATTGTCAAGTAGGTGCTTGAACTAAAGCTGGGAAAGAGGGATTTGTGTTAGGAATCCCATCTGTGGGGTGGTGGGAGAGCTCTGCTATATTTGTCAAGGAAACAATTTAAAGTTGAAAGATGAATGATGTTCGGTGCTTTAAACACTTTGAGCTTCAGCTCACAAAATTCCCACTAGCAAGGCCAATTTTAAGAATTGTTTTTGTTTATTTTGTGTCACAAGCATTGCATAAAAAATAAGTATAAAATTGATAAAAATAGAGGGAACATAAGCGGTTAAATATTCTTTGACCAAAAACGGGCAACAGCGATCACATTGTTTGTAGCTTTAAACATTTTTTCCTCTATACATGAGGCAGGATACTGTGGACAATCATGCATATGGGGAGTTGTTTCTTCTGCCACACAGTTGCACAAGGTGGAGGATTCTTTTAGATAGTGGCATTTTGCCAGGTTGTCTTTTGATCTTCCCATTCTATTTTTGAGTGTGTTCAGGGACTTCCAAGTTGCCCATTCTTGGTTTGCCCTTGGAGGGAGACCCTTGCGGGGGGCCATCCATTTGGGGTTTTCTGGTTTAGCTGCCCAGAGGGATACTCTTGCTGTTGCTGGGAGAACATTAAGAGGAGTGGTGATTCTCATAAAGCTTTTCCTTGATTTGCATCTACTGGGATGAGGCTGGTAGCCATGCAGTGGGTGGCTTTCACAGTGTTCAACCTTATGTTTCTCTCAGTTAGCAGCAACTTCCCAGATTTGAGACGGGGAGGGGGGGCAGAATATATTCTACAAGCTACCTTGTAGGATATATCAACACGTCCAGCTTTAAGACAGCCTGTGATTAGTCTACATGTTTTGTTCAAGTGCTATATTCACCTGCTTCGTGTGGGCAGATTTGTGCCAGACAAAGCAAGTATACTTGGCAGTTGAGTAAGACAAGGCCAGGGCTGATGTTCTCATTAATTTTGGATCTGCTCCCCTTGTGGTACCTCAGGATGTTATTGCATGCAGCTACTTTGTGCTTGGTGTTTATACAGTGTTTTCTAAATGTTAGTGTTGGATCTAAGGTGACACTAAGATATTTAGGATGGAAGCAGTGTTCACGTTCTTGACCTTTCCAGGTAACTTTCAATTTCCTGTTGACTTCACAGTTACGTATGTGGAAAGCACACACTTGTGTCTTGGCAGGGTTAGGCTTCAGGTGGTTATCTTTGCAGTAGCTGGTGAGATCTTTCAAGGCATTAGTAAGTTGGTTTTTGAATGTTTCAAACCCAAAAGCATTGCTTTTAAACATTGCAAGAAAGGATGAGAGCTGTAGGCTGAAACATTTGGAAGGCAAAAAGTTCCCAACCTAATGTAAGCAAGGCCATGGGATATGGCAGTCCAATGGCTTTTCATCTACAACAGTGCTTCTTAAAATGTTGGTCCCCTTAGCTCAATGTTGATGACCTCAAAAAAATTGGCAACAGTGAAAGTTTTCTGACCACCACTCATTTACACAAATCTGTTAGTAACAGTGCACAGTGTTTACAATGGTCTCTGGAGAAGATGCTTCAACTGCATCCCCAAAAAGGAAAATCAGCCTGTTTAGCAAGCCTTGTAAATGCTTACATATAATCAGTACATGTTTGTTTTGTATAATTATTTTATATACCCATATACCCTTTTTGTGTAAATATTTCTTGGGTGCAAAAGAGGTCACAATTTTTTTCTTGGGTAGAAAGGAGTCACCACCAATGAAAAAAGTTAAGAAGGTCTGCTTTACAAGACCTGTTAAACACTGGAGCTTTCAGAGAAGAATGTGTTTAAATACCATAAGGAGGAGCATACAGGAAGGAACATACAGGATGGAAATGTATAAAGATAAAGAAATAATGATTGTCTCAAAAAGAAATGAATATGTGAAAGATAATAATCCTCATGTTGGTGGTGGGAATTGTAAATGTTTTGTGTGTGCAAAGTATGTATCTTCTGTATTGTAAAAATAAAAAGTCGGGGGGAAAAAAGGAAAAATAAAAAAAATACCATAAGGAGAAGAAGGAAGGCTATATAATGGGTGTAATACTAAAAATCAAGGTGTAATGGCTTCCTGATTATTTTGATTTTATCCTCTGGACTAGTGTTTACAGTGCACCAGTCACCTCCCTTCTCTCCTCTATCAAACTTCTCATTTCTTTGTTCATTCATCCATCTTCTCTCCTTGACTCTTCAGGCTTCTGGATGTGATCCATACAGAAAACAAACTGTACTTGGTCTTTGAGTTTCTGCATCAGGACCTAAAGAAGTTTATGGATTCTTCATCTTCAATTAGTGGTGTAGAGCTACCCCTTATTAAGGTGAGTAGCTGAGGAGGTAAAAGATAGCTAAGGCATGGAGAAGCAAATAGTTGCTCAGCCTTTGAATGGCAGATACCATTCACATCTATGTCTATCTAAGGGCCAACTGGAATGGGAAGGTTTTCCAGTCATTTGGATATCCTTTTTCATGGGGCTTAGCAGAACTCACAAAGAATTATCTACCTTAAAACTCTAGCTCCCATGCTTCTGCCAGTTTGAAGCCCGGGTCAGGGTGAGCTTCTGGCCTTTCGCCTGCCTAGCGGTTCGAAAGTAGATGTGAGTAAATAAATAGGTACTGTAAATAAATAAATACTTCAGATGATTCAAAACCTCTCAAGTAATTCAAAATAACAAGATGCAAATTTAGTAGAAAGAAGCACATTGGCACAATTTCTCCTCTTTTAGGCATAGCATTTAAGAGAGATTAAATAAGTTTGAACAGGTGACCTAAATTCCAACCCATTGTTAAATTAATTTCAAAATGCAATGATTCAATTAATATGATCATAACAAAAGATTGCTGTGATCTCTGCAAAAGAGAGAACGACTTGTAACGGGCCAGGGTCCAATTGAGTACAGTTGACCTCAGGATTCGTGATTTTTGTATTCATTGATGCAGCCGTCTACAGCTTGAAAACATTTTTGTTTTAATCTTAGAAAGCAAACCTTGATTTTGTTGTCTTATATAATTGATGTCATTTTATTACACTGTGATAGATAATGAGACTTGAATATTTTGGTATCCACAGAGGGGTCCTGACACCAAACCTCAGTGTATACCACTTTTCTTAGGTGAACCCAGGAAGAAGTGGTTCCTCTCGCTAGCTTCTAACTGTTATGGGGGTTAAGAAGGCCTCTGGAACAAAGTTTTGGGTGGCGAATAAGGGTAGTAGAGAGGGAGAGAAAGATATGTCTTATTGGAGGAGCTATCTGGACAGAGAAATCTTTCTGGCTCTGCTTATGGGTGTTTTCTGCCCAATTGGATCCTAACTTTGGTTCCAAGATAATTTTTTCTGAGGCCACATTGAAAACTGGGAATTTGCTTGCTTTGTGGAGAAGTTGTCTCCTTAGCCTTCCTTTATCTCTCGTCCCTTAGAGCTATCTGTTCCAGCTGCTGCAGGGCCTTGCCTTCTGCCACTCGCATCGCGTGCTCCACCGTGACCTGAAGCCACAGAACCTCCTGATCAATGCCGAGGGAGCAATAAAACTGGCCGACTTTGGGCTTGCCCGTGCTTTTGGGGTGCCAGTAAGGACTTACACACATGAAGTGAGTGTCTCTCCTTTCCTGAATTTTCTCATGCTTCTCATATACTCGTTCCCAATTAGGAAATAGCAGTTGTTTTTGTTTTTGCTCTGTGTCTCTCTTCATTACCTTTTCTTTTTGGTGGAAAAGCGAAGTCTGATGATGAATGCATGTAATAGCATAAATTTTGAACATTTCCCACATCAATCATATAGTGATCAAAAATCATGGTTTACTACTTGATCTGAATTCAGATTTTTAAAAAATAAAACAGTTTTAGTTTTATATCTGTATTCAGTGTTTTTCTCAAATGACAGAATAACCTTGAGGAGAATAACCCTGTTGTTTACCCAAGCCTCTTGTTTATCAAGTTGTTCTAGGTGTACACAGGCTTGCCTTTAGGCATTTAAGGAATGACTGTGTACATTCCAGTCTGATTTCCATCCATGTCATTTTGTCTTCAGAGGCTTGAGTTGTAGTACTAATGCAGAGAATAAGATGCAACTATCTGTCTGTCTGCAGTTTACAGCTTAATTGCACATTTGTAGAGGAGATGAAATATGGAACTCTTGTTTGGTGTTGTTCTCCCTACTAGGTGGTCACCCTCTGGTATCGTGCTCCAGAAATCCTCCTTGGCTGCAAATATTACTCAACTGCTGTAGATATATGGAGTCTGGGCTGCATATTTGCTGAGATGGTACGTATCTGGAATGTTGCACGTTTGACTAATGTCTTTACATTATTGCTTACTATATATACTCAAGTATATGCCGACCCAAATATAAGCCGAGACATCTAATTTAATAACAAAAAAATGGGAAAACGTATTGATGCAAGTATAAGCCGAGAATGGGAAATGCAGCAGCTCCTGGTAAATTTCAAAATAAAAACAGATACCAATAAAATTACATTAATTGAGGCATCAGTAAGTTAAATGTTTTTTAATATTTACATAAAGCTTTAAGATAAGACTGTCCAACTCTGATTAAACCATTTTAACCACCTTTAATGTAAATGTGCTTATGTATCCTTCCAATAATAATAGAGTAAAATAAGTGTAAAAAATTAATATTAGAGTAAAATGATGTAAATGTAATAAAATTAATAATAGAGTAAAAATAATGTAAATGTAATAATAAGAAATGGAGTAAAACAATAAATTAATAAAAATAATAACAGTGTAAAGTAATAAATAACCTTGACTTGAGTATAAGCCGCGCCGGGGGGGATTTTCACCCTTAAAAAAGGCTGAAAAATCCAGCTTATACTCAAGTATAAATGGTACCTTGAATTTGCACCAGTCTAAAAGCCAAAGCATACTCTCATGGGAAGAGAGGATCAGCAAATGTGAACCTACTGCACTGGAAATGAAGAGTGTGAGACAAGTAATCATGTTTTAGCCTTCACTGGACTTTTATGAGCATTTGTGACCTATCTCAGCCCTCTGGAATTGTTTTGACCAAGAAAGCTACCTGAGCAGCTTCCTCAGGCTTGGCATCCTCAGTGGATTGGAGTCCGCAGCCTGGAAGGTAACAGCACTCCATGCAGTCATGCTGGCCACATGACCTAGGAGTTGTCTACGGACAATGCCGTCTGTTCAGCTTAGAAATGGAGATGAGCACCCCCCCCCCCCCCCCCCCTCGAGTCAGACATGTCAAGACTTAATGTCAGGGGAAACCTTTACCTTTACTCAGATCCATCAATTCAAAATCTCCCCCTGAAATAGGACTTGATTTATAATTCTGCCTCCTTCATCTGACTAATGCTTCAGACTAGAAATGTTTTCATATTTCAGATTCTTTTGGATTTTGGAGTATTACTTATTTATTTATGACATTTCTACCCCGCCTTTCATATGTTCAGTGCCCACTGAGTTTTCCTCAGGTAGTGCTTGCTCCACTGCCATCAGAAATCTGACCGGAGGGCAGGGGAAGAGAAGAGAGGGAATTTTTGCAGCTCTGCTCACGCCAAGCCTCTGAAAGGCAACCCTGTCATCAACTGAGAGGAGCATCAGTTATATTTTTTCTTCCCTTCTCAGCTATGAGGACTACTTTGCTAAAAGAGCGGGGAAGTGTTTAGATCCTTGTTTGAGCCTCAGGCATTCGAGTCATCCTCTCTCTTTCCCACTCATCTCTTTCCTCTTCGTCACATTTCTGACAGTGGTGGAACAAGGGCTCCTTGAGGAAAAACTCAGTGGGTGCTGGATATATGACTAATTCCTTTCCTCGAAAGTATAAATGGGTTACTGGTGGCAGATTGTTTAGGTTTTGGTCAACTCATAAATCAACACATGAATATAAGATGCATCCAATACCAGAGGTGGCTTAAATACCCTAGACATCAGATCCCATCTGATCTTATAAGCTAAACATGGTAAGCCTTGGTTAATACTTAGATACCACGTACTGTATGCTATATTTCAATGGGAATAAGGGAGGCTGAACCTTTTTATATTTAACTAGCTGTACCCACCAAGCCTTCTTTCTCTCTTCCCTTATTTTCTTCCCTCCCTCTTTTTTATGCATATTTCCTTCTTTCTTTCGCTCCATCTTTTTTTCTATCCTTCTCTTCTTCCTTCTCTACCACTTTCTTTCCTTCCTCCTTTTTATTTTCCTTCCTCTTTCTAACCTTTCTTCCTTCTCTACCTCTCCCCTTCCTTTGCTTTTCACTTCCTTCCTTCTCTCTTTCCTTCTTCCCTTCCCTCCCTTTTTCTGCTTCTTCYTTTCCTTTTTTCTGTCCTTTTCTCTTTCCTTCTCTACCTCTTTCTTTCCTTCCCCCTTTTTTGTTTCTCTTTCTCTCCTTTCTTCCTTCTCTACTTCCTTTCTTCCTTCGCTTCCATGCTTCCTTCTCTCTTTCCTTCTTTCTTTCCCTCCCTCTTTCTCTCCTTCCTTTCTTTWTCTTTCTTTTTTCCTCCCCTTCCTTCCGTCCCTTTTTTCTGTATCGTCWTTTAGCTTTTCATCATTTAGCTTTTTGGGGTTTTAAAGTCCTTTCCACTGRTTTTTTTTGGAGGGAGGGTGATTATGAGTGATGGTCTGTTAGGGGTATAGTGTCCAAATTTGGTGTCAATTTGTCCAGTGGTTTTTGAGTTATGTTAATCCCACAAACGAACATTACATTTTTATTGATATAGATGTTACACCAAGGCTACACTCCATCCAGATGTTAATATAGTATTTTAAAMTAAAGGAAATACACCTTTTGTTATGTTGGCCTACCAACCAGATTTATGCATGTGTCATATCAAATCAGAAAGCCAACGTAGTGCAGTGGTTTTATGTGTTCAGACTGAGGCTCTGGAGACCAGGGTTTGAATCCCTATTCAGTCTCAAGAGGAAACAAAGGCAAACCTTCCCTTGAATAAATCTTTCCAAGAAAACCCTGTGATAAGATTACATTGGTCACCATAAGTTGCCAATGACTTGAAGGCATGCAACAACACATACCAAAATCTGTAATTTTGGGCCTTAAACCTGCCTCAACTTATACACAAACATATGCACTAAAATAATGCAAACTGTAAATGGTTTAAATGAATCCTGCCAAAATCACAGAGACCGCTTGTTTTCTATGTAGGTGATAGGAGAGCTATGTACAATTCAGCCCAGGCCTTTAACCAACAGTATAGCAGTGTATAAGTCAGCCATATAGTTTTATATCTTAGGCTTCGGTAGTGGTCTCTTCCATTTGTGTTTGCCCACCTTTGTTTTTCCTCAAGGCCAACCAATTGAAATTTTACTACATGACCAAAAATGATAATATTAAAAGGATTTGTGCAAATATGCCTGGCTTGTTTGCAATATTGCATTTGTGCAACAACTATTATTTTTGAAATCTCAACATTTTAGGACAACTTCAGAGGCCCAGGGATTTTTAATGATAAATGCCACAATTTTTATTCTAATGTATATGGTTTATGCAATGTGTTTTTGTTTATTTGTTTTGGTTGGGGGGGGGGAGTGATGTGCTCTTGTATTAGGTAATTTCTGTTTTTTAACCATTTTGAGTCCCATCTATGGGGGGAAAAGCAGGATATAAATTAATAATATCCCTAGCACCATTTCAGTGCTTTAATACATGATAGTGTTGCATTAACTTATATAGTTGGTGCAGAGAACTCAGTAACTTAGATGTGAAGTAGACTGGCTCCAGTCAAACACTCCCCACATCCTTTCCCTTTGCCTTGTGAAAAGCTCCTGACAAGATCAGTTGACTTGGCATCAATTCAGCTGGGAGGAAGTGACCTTTTCCCTAGGGCAGAAATGGCCTAGAAAAGGGGTCATGGGATAGTAGAAGTCTGTTATGGACTCCTCTTCTGAGAACCGAACCATTCCTTTTAGGGAAATACTCTTTCCGCTAGGGGTGTATACAAAATTGTCTCTCTCACACACAAACACCACATATTCAGAAGTCTGCGTCATATAGGGACTGTCTCATGAAATGATTCTTATGACAACTTTCTGTATTGCATTATATGCTCTTCCTTCATCATTTGGAATCTCTATTGTCCTGCAAATCCTTGTTTTGAGTTTCATGAGGGTTTGAGCCGTTGGAGATACAATCACATATGTAGGGTGTTTCCCCCCAAAATATATCCTTAACAATTCTGGAATATTCTTTTTAAAGAATGCATACACCCTTAACAGGAGTAAAGATTCCAGTTATAGTGAAGAGCTGTGTCATTACATGAGAAACTTTAAATCAGTGGTTCTCAACCTGTGGTTCCCCAGGTGTTCTGGCCTACAATTCCCAGAAATCCCAGCTACTTTACCAGCTGTTAGGATTTCTGGGAGTTGAAGGCCAAAACATCTGGGGACCCACAGGTTGAGAACCACTGTGTGAAATTTGCAACTTTATGCTTTGGTAGTGTGAGTAGTGCATTACTGCACAGGGACAGTAATGTGAACATCTGACATAAAGTTGTAATTTAACATGGAATTTGTAACTGATTGAACCATTATTACTGTATTCAATGTAAGTGTATGTACTTAACCTTCAAATAATCACCATAGCTCCTATGGGAACACCCATATATTGCTTTCTACCCTGCTTTTCTGGTCTGACTGCTGGATGTTGTCATATATTTTTAATTTATGTGAAAAATGAAGCTAAGAAAGCAAATCTATGTAAAAATGATGTGTCTAGCTTTGTGGCAGCGTGTGGATTAATTTTAGGTCTGTGTCATCATACTCTGACATTACACCAGGTTGGGTGGACTGAACTCATTCATTGTGTATCATCTGGAAATGAAAGGAAGAACTGTTGAGGGTAATTCTGCTCTGCTCTTCTGTCAAACAGCTAACGCGTAGAGCCCTTTTTCCTGGGGATTCGGAGATTGACCAGCTGTTCCGCATATTTCGCACGTTGGGCACACCTGATGAAACTGTATGGCCAGGTGTCACTTCCATGCCTGACTACAAGTCCAGCTTCCCCAAATGGGCCCGGCAAGATTTCAGCAAGGTGGTGCCGCCTTTGGATGAAGAAGGCAGGAAGCTTCTGGCGGTGAGTTTCAAAACAAAGCAGGGAGAGTCGCTTCTGCTCTGGGAAAGTGCAGCATTGGTTTGGGTGTTTAGCACAGTGAAGTCCCATTCTTTCTAAGCGTAAAGTTAATGCTCTGCCATGAGTTCACATAAACCAGTGCTGTATGAGAGCACATATTATATGTGTCTTTTCAGCTTCAGGAGTCAAGAAATACTGGATTTACTCAAGTATTAACCTAGTTTTTCAGCCCTTTTTTAGGCCGAAAAAGTCCCCCTCAGTTTATACTCAAGTCAAGGTTATTTATTATTTTACTCTATTATTGTGTGATGTATTGGTGAATAATGCGTGCCGTTTCTGTAGTTGTTTTGCTTCAAGTTGCCCTACAGGCCCATGCCCTGGTTGTTGTTGTTACATTTATTATTTTACTCTATCATTATTACATGTCTTATTTTGCTCTATTATTGGAAGGATACATTTGCACAGTTACATTCAATAAGGTTAGAATAATGGTTTAATCAGAGTTGGGCAGTCTTATCTTAATGTATTGTCGAAGGCTTTCATGGCCGGAATCACTAGGTTGTTGTAGGTATTTTCGGGCTATATGGCCATGTTCTAGAGGCATTTTCTCCTGACATTTCACCTGCATCCTCAGAGGTAGTGAGGTCTGTTGGAACTAGGAAAAATGGGTTTATATATCTGTGGAATGACCAGGGTGGGACAAAGGACTCTTGTCCGTTGTAGCTAGGTGTGAACGTTTCAACTGACCACCTTGATTAGCATTTGATGGCCTGGCACAGCCGGGAGCAATCTTTTGTTGAGAGGTGATTAGATGTTCTTGTTTGTTTCCTCTCTGTTGTTGTGCTGTTGCAATTTTAGTGTTTTTTAATACTGGTAGCCAGATTTTGTTCATTTTCATGATTTCCTCCTTTCTGTTGAAATTGTCCACATGCATGTGGATTTCAATGGCTTCTCTGTGTAGTCTGACATGGTGGTTGTTGGAGTGGTCCAGCATTTCTGTGTTCTCAAATAATATGCTGTGTCCAGGCTGGTTCATCAGGTGCTCTGCTATGGCTGACTTCTCTGGTTGAAGTAGTCTGCAGTGCCTTTCATGTTCCTTGATTCGTGTTTGGGCAATGCTGCGTTTGGTGGTCCCTATGTAGACTTGTCCACAGCTGCATGGTATCCGGTAGACTCGTGCAGAAGCGAGAGGATCCCTCTTGTTCCTCTTGAACGTAGCATTTGTTGGATTGTCTTGGTGGGTCTGTAGATAGTTTGTATGTTGTGTTTCCTCATCAGCTTCCCTATGCGGTCAGTGGTTCCCTTGATGCATGGCAAGAACACTTTTCCTCTGGGTGGATCTTCGTCTTTACTCTCGTGGCTTGTTCTTGGCCTTGCAGCTCTTCTGATGTCTGAGGTAGAGTGTCCATTGGCCTGTAGAGCCCAGTTTATGTGGTTCAGTTCATCTTGGAGGAGGTGGGGTTTGCAGATTCTTTTTGCATGGTCTGCCAAGGCTTTAATGCTGCTTCTTTTTTGACTTGGGTGATGGTTGGAGTTTTCATGTAGATATCTATCTGTGTGTGTGGGGGTTTTCTGTAGATGGTGTGACCCAATTGTTGATCTGGTTTACGGATGACACCTAGCTCCAACAGACAAGAGTCCTTTGTCCCACCCTGGTCATTCCACAGATATAGAAACCCTTTTTCTTAGTTCCAACAGACCTCACTAACTCTGAGGATGCTTGCCATAGATGCAGGCGAAACGTCAGGAGAAAATGCCTCTAGAACATGGCCATATAGACCGAAAAAACCTACAACCCAGTCTTATCTTAAATTACAGTTTTCTATAAATATTCAAAAACATTGAACCTTCAAAAGCCTCATTTAATGTAATTTTATTGATATATATATATATATAGAGAGAGAGAGAGAGAGAGAAATTTACCAGTAGCTGCTGCATTTCCTACTCTCAGCTTATACTTGAGTCAATCCTTTCCCCCAGTTTTTGTGGTAAAATTAGATGCCTCGGCTTATACTCGAGTATATATGGTAGTTTCCTGTGGTAAGATTTGAGAAAAGGTCTGCTGCTTTTATAAGATTACATATTTTATCCGCATTCAAGTGTCCCTTTCCTAGAGATCGGGACAGAACCTGGGAGAAACTTATCACAGCTTTCAGAATCTGTTCCGTTCACTGAGAGTCCTGGCCCTTGCAGCATGTTCTGAAGTTTGAATCCTTTTTCTTAATGCCAGCACTGAGTAGAACATTTAGAACATCAGGGCTGAAAATATATTAGCTGTTGTGAACACTAAAGATTGAACTTGTTTGGTTGGTTCAGTTATATTATCTCCTTGATTAAACCATTAGTGTAGTGCCACACGATGGAAATTATAGAGAATGGCATGCCCGTTGTCACTGGTGGAGCACTTTTGTAACTGGCTCCTTCAAAAGGCGTCTTTTTGCTCTTTTGTAGTAGTTTCCTTTCAACCTGGATTTCCTTCCGCATGGACTACAAAGTCCATAATGGCATTGTTTTCTGAGAATGGTGGTAATTTAGTACATCTGGGAATTATCAGGTTAAGGAAGACTGTTCCAACCATGGGTTCTTATTTTACAATCTTTTATTTTTATTTGCATTTCCACCTGTATACTTCACTCATTCTTCAAATAATAATAATAATAATAATAATAATAATAATAATAATCTTTTATTTATACCCCGCCACCATCTCCCATAGGGACTCGGGTGGCTTACAAATAGCACACATAATGCCACGCCACATATAAAATACAGTATATGAACATTAAAATACAATGGCATATTTAAAACCAGACATATACAATTGACAAAAAAAATATAGCAATAGTCATTGATTAAAAATCCATGCAATCAATTTAGCCTTGGCTGGCTAAAGAATAGTCTGGCTGCTATCTTAAGCATTATCAAATAGCTCTAGCAGAACATTTTTTCTGTGTAAGATAATGGTGGCACCCTTTTGTTGCTCCACTTTCAGTCAAGAAATGTAGTCTGCAAAGATCAATTGTAGAAGATTGATTTTGCAAGCGGAGCCAAGGATCCTAGATACAATTTGTGGCATCTGCGGTTTCATTGATCAGGTATATAACACATGCCTTCCTGTCTGCAACTATCTTACCTTGATTGTATTATTTAAAAGCGGCTGGTGGAGGAGAAAGGGGTGAGAACAAAACAAAGTGGATAGAGGGATGGTATAAGCGAGAGGAGAAGACATCAAGAGAGAAAGAACTAAGGGATAGGTTTCTTGGATCATTATTTTTTCTTGGTAGTCTTGTTTTTGTCCCATCTCTTGATTTGGATATAGAATCATATCTTTGTTCTGAGAGGCACAGCTCTTGTCTGGAAGAGGGAGGTGATTGATTTATCCTATTTGGGGGTGGGTGGGGTTTCCTGCCAGTTATTATAACTCATCTTCCTTTCCCCTTTAGCAAATGCTGCATTATGATCCTAACAAGAGAATCTCAGCCAAGACAGCTCTCAGCCACCCCTTCTTCCGGGATGTCACAAAAGCTGTGCCGCACCTCCGCCTGTAAGAATCAGGAGCAATGCTGCTTCTTTGGACTGCACTGGTTGCTTGCACTTAACTTTTCAACTTAATCTTGAATGGCATGCTATGGTTCCTCTTGGCACAGAGTCTACACTTTAATAGTTTATACTCTGAGGTATATTTGAAAGCACTAGCTGAAGACTGGGTGCTTCCAGGGAGCCTTGTGACACGAGGGAAGAGCCTCCAGAGCCACCTGCTTCAAGGACTCATTTTGTGGAAGAAACCCTCACCTCTTGCTCTTCTCGCAGAGCATCTTCTGTCTTGGCCGACCCTCTGGTTTCATCTTCAATATAGAACTCAGCTGTGCTTTTCTTTGAGAAAATGTTGCTGCCAGCAAGAAACCATTTTTCTTATTCATATCAGGATATTGACTTCAACTATGGTGCCTGCCTGGCATTCTGTCAAGTGCATTCCGGTGCTAGCAGAACCTTGCCCTCTTTTTCCTTCCAGACCTTCAGAAGAAAATTGTGCACTTAACTCTCCACTTATTGTGAACAGGAAAATATTTTACTCTGGCCAATGATTCTACAAAATCAAAATTAACGTGCCTTGGGGCTCATGAAGCTCACACTCTGGGAACTCAGAATGTCTTGCTAACCATCTAAAGGACTGCTTGCCATGTCACTAGACATTCTTGACTTTTCTGATGTACTAGTGTTTATTGGGCAAATGGGTACATACTATCACTGTTCCACTCATCCTTCCACATCCTACTCCTGTACATGTATTATTTGTCTCTGTCTATATGCTTATAGCCCATTAAACATTAATGCAATAGATATGGTTACAAACTTCATCAGGCCATGCTCTCTGCAAAGGTGCCTTTCTCCAATGGTGTCTTGTGCTCAACTGTCGTTGGTCTCAAAGATCTCTTCCAAATACCTACAACTGGAGCAAATCTGCCTTGGCTTGCAGGAGTAGAGAGTTCTGTCTCTCTACTACTGATGTGTATCTTACTGAAAATGTCATCACATTTGTAACCTGTGCTGCCCTGCACAAAGATGGATGTCTGGAAACAGTTTCTATCACTATGCCAATTTTGGTTTGAAGGAAGTAAAGCATTTGGGGTTCTTTCAGTGAAACACACTGCATGGTTTCAAAGGACTTGAGATATAATAAAAACAATGATGTTTATGTCTAAGGGGAAAATTAGCTAAACCCATGGATTTGTCAGGCAAATTCCATAAAATGGTTTATATACTGTCAAAAGAAGTAATTATTATATTTTCATTGGTGAAGAGCTATAGGTACCCTTTTTGTTAGTTTTGAAGACATGCCTACAACATTAAGGTTTTGTCTCAATGCAATATTAAGCATTGAAACCTTAGTCAATCCAATAACATGAACAAACCCAATGTTTTTGCCTTATCTATGATAGATTTTGAAATGTTACCCTCTAGATATTTGGATCAATCTATCACCAGCAGCATTATGAGAGCTGGGGGGAGGGGGTGGGCTCTTTATTTTGTAAAATTCTATTTTGGGTGACATATATTCTATCAAAAAAAAGAAGTGTCCTAAGGAAAGTAAGGTTCAATTGTCCTCAACTCAAACTCAGCAACAGAATTACTGAAACAGATTATTATATAATCTATAACTGTATATCTTGAAAAATACAGGTGACATGCAGTGGTCTTCACTTGAGAGAGTTGGCATTTCACATCAGTTGGGCTAACATGGGAATGCTTGTTATAGAAGTGTAAATTCCAAAATGAATCAGCAAAATGCTCATCATAAACGCTGACTCCACTGCTATATACAATATTTGGATACATTTCTTTTTTTCTTCTCTTGATCTTTTGGTTGGAAGTAATAGATATATTTATAAGGCCGATGAATTTCTGATTTGTAAAAAGCTTGTAAGTCTAAGCACCTTGGCATTTTTTTCAATGTGGACTTTTTAAAGAAAAAATATTTTTGTCTGTAGATCTTTGTAAGACTTTATTTTTAACTAACACCTGTTTATGCATAATTAAAAGTATTTTGTAGTTTTAAAGGAGCATTTCTTGAGTATTTTTCCGATTCGATGATGTCATGAAATCTGAGCTCTTCATCTACTGCAGTGGTTCTCAACCTGTGGGCCCATGGGTGGTTTGGTCTTCAACTCCCAGAAATCCCAACCAGTTTATCAGCTCTTAGGATTTCTGGGAGTTGAAGGCCAAAACATCTGGGGACCCACAGGTTGAGTACCACTGATTACTGTGAGCATCTCTCGAGGTAGAACCCAGTTTTGTGCTATTAATATTAGTTCTCTTCAAACAAAACCGATTTATTGCACACTTGTATCTACACTGCAGCCTATCAGGGATACACGCGATTCGTGAGTCTGTGGACCCAAAGAAATAGAGAAAGCTGAACCACACAAGTCCTGCAAACCATACAAATCTTAAGTGGTGAAAATATGGGAGCCAAAATATGGGAGCCAACGAGTGACGGTCACTCGTTGGTCTGTTAAGGGTGTAGTGTCCAAATCTGGTGTCAATTCGTCCAGTGATTTTTGAGTTATGTTAACCCCACAAACGAACATTACATTTTTATTTATAGATAGTACAATACCGTAATATATAATACTGATATTGTACTATGCTAATAATATAACATATTGTATATAGACAAATATCTTGCAAGCCGCTCTGAGTTCCCTTCAGGGTGAGAAGGGCGGCATATAAATGTCGTAAATAAATAAATACATGCAAGTACAAAATATGAAACAATCTGAAATCCCAAACACGCCTGATCCCAGGAAGGGGGCCCAACCTGCACTGACCACTGAAGCGTTTCTCCACCGAGAGCACGGCTCCCCAGTTGGATTTACTTCCGGACTCCAAGATCTTCTCCTGACTATAAGGGACCCAAAGAGGTCAAGGGTTAGGCGCCTCCTAGGCACCCTTTTTCTAAGGAGCAAAATGCTGCCACTCAAATCCGAGGTCACTTCTCATTGGGCGTGCGTGACAGCGCGCTCCCTGATTGGGTAAAAAAGTTCGAGCCGCGCCCACCATCTCCTCTGTCAATCACTCTCTCCCTCCCCCGACCTCGAGGGCCTCCGGCCTGGGAATGGGCAGCGAGAACTGAATTCTAGAGTTCTAATTGGTTGTAGCGGCTCCATGGTCCCGCCCCCTCTAGGTCACCTTATTTGTTGTTTATGAAGCCGCCTTCCTACTGGTGGGCTCCCTCGTCGTTTAAGCAAATGCCCTCCCTTCCTTCCCCGCGAGGTGCTTTCTAATTGGCTCTCCCGCCTCCTTCCTGCCATTGGCGAGACCGCTCCTGCCCATTCTTCCCTTCGCGGAGCCCCAATTAGCCGGACGGGGCCAGGGCGCGGTTTCCTCAAAGGCGATTGGCCGGGAGGGCGTGTCCGTGCCCCAGGTGCCTTGCGCCCATTGGCCGGGGACGCGCTCCAGCGCCGCCTCCGCGTGCAGAGGTGGGTTTGGTTGAGGGAGTTTGTTTGTGTGCGAGGCAGTCGGGGCCCGCGGAGGGGGGCAGTCGGAGCCGTCCCAGGTAGCCCTCAAGGGGCGGGAGGGGGGCTTGGTTGCCTAGGCGACCGGGAGGGGGGCTGCGGGGGAGGAGGAGAAGCCGGGGCCTTGGAGGGGAGAGGGGCTGGCGGGCGGGAAGGAAGGAGAAGGCCCCTCAGAGCGGGGCGGCGGCGGCAGCGGCAGCTTGGAGTAGGCCCTCCTTCCCCGAGCCAGGAAGGGTGGGCGCTTGGCTGGGTGGGAGCGAGGAAATGGCGGAAGGGGGCTAGGCAAGGAGGAAAGGCCCGGCAAGTACCCTCGGGCCACGGGGCGGGTGTGAGGGGTCTCTCAGCCTTGGAATTAGGTTGAATAGAGGCGAGTTTTGTGTGAATTAGAGATAGGGCCCTTCCCCACAGCCCTATATCCCAGAATATCAAGGCAGAAAATCCCACAATATCTGCTTTGAACTGGGCTATCTGAGGCCTCTTCCACACAGCTGTATAAAATGCCACATTTTCTGCTTTGAACTGAGATATATGGCAGTGTGGACTCATATAGCCCAGGGCCCTTCCACACAACCCTTTATCCCAGTATATCAAGGCAGGAAATCCCACATTATCTGAGTGTGGATTCAGATAACCCAGATTCAAAGCAGATATTGTGGGATTTTCCGCCTTGATAATCTGGGTTATTGGGCATTGTGGAAGGCCCCTGAGTAGATAATGCATGCTATAGTGGTCTGAGTACTGGAGTAAGATTTTGGAGGACCGGAGTTAGAGGACCCTTCCATACAGCTGAATAAAATCTCACATTTTCTGCTTGAACTGGAATATATAGCAGTGTGGACTCAGATGTCCCAGTTCAAAGCAGATAGATATTGTGGGATTTTCTGCCTTGATATTCTGGGTTACATGGATGTATGGAAGGGACCTTCAGTCCACACTGCCATATATTCCAGTTCAAAGCAAAAAATGTGGGATTTGATTCCAGTGTATGGAAGGGGCCATAGAGGGGTGGAAGGTGGTTGGAGAGGTTGCATTCCACATCTGTGTAGCTCTCAGCTTTGCGCCTTGCTTTCTGTGGGGGCAAACTGTGGTTTGGTTTAATGATGTGGAAACAAAAGTGCCGGAGTGCCATAGCCTTCGGGAGCACTCCCTGGGTGCCAGGTAGCCACAGCAGCCTGTATGTGTTAATCACACTCTTGGTAGCAATGCTTTTAGATTTAGGTTGCTGAGAAACTTTGCCAGATGTTCATGGTTCCCACCCTTTAGTTCTCCAGGGGTTTTGGACTTCACTTCCCCAAAATCCTGACAGTTTCCCAAGTTGACTGGGGTTCCTGGAAATTGAAGTGCTAAACACTTGACAGCGCAAAGGTTGGGAACCATAGCCTTGGATCAAAGACTACAGCAGGATATATTTCTGTACTCAGTGTACTAGCTGAAAAATGCATCTACACTAGGTATCCTCACACTGTGGCCCTCCAGCTATTTGGGCCTCCACTCTCAGAATTCCTGACCATTGATGAAGCTGGCTAGGGCTTCTCAGAGTTGGAGACCGAAACAGCTGGAGGGCTGCAGTTTAAGGGTGCCTGATTTACACTGTAGAATTAATACATTTTGTCACCACTTTTTACTGCCATGTTTCTTTGCTATGGAATCCTAGCAGTTGTAGTTTTGCAAGGTCTTTAACCTTCTCTGCCAAAGGGCCTTCGTACCGCAATAAACAACAAATCACAGGATTCCAGAGCAGGAGCCATGAAGGTTAAAGTGGTGTCAAAATGCATTGATCCTACAGTGCGGTAGCAACCAAGGTCTGTTTTTTGTTCCCGAAATCCTGACCTGGTAACATAGTTGTAGAGGAGTCACATCAAAGCCACAAGACCTGCTTCTTGCATAATGAAGGTGGGACGCTACACAGCACCTGGGTAGTAGAGCTTGCTGCTGCCCTAGTTTCTTTACAGTTGAGTTGTTTGACCTGTTGAAGCTGCTAGTTCTTTGGACTGTCCATATTTTGTTACTCTGGAAACATTTGTGCTTTCCCGCAGCACTGAAGTGCCCCTTTTCACCATTGAGCACTCTAATAAATCATGATGGTTTCTCTCTATAAAAATGGGTCCTTGAGAGAAGGAAAGTATTTCAGGCTATTGTCTGATTTTTAAAGCAAGTCACTCACAGTGTAAACAGCTTTCATAGAGAACCTTAGAGTTCTGGTTGGTCATGTCTGATGCCAGAATTTTGGTTGGGCATGTCTGATGCTTTCACTAATCCTGGTATTTATCTCATGAATGTTATAGAGATGGGCACATTAGGGATTCATGGATCTTTTCCTGCTTTAAGGCACTTATAATCTGTTCTTTTTACAGCTTGTCTCTATTAAAAATGCATTGGTGTGGGCAAGTTGCCCAGAGAAACAGTGAAGAAAAAATTACATTCTTTTGTTGTTCAGGAATATCAAGACAGAGGTGGCTAGTTGCAAATACTTAACATATATCCTTTTCTCATAAAGCACCACAGAGCCTGGTGGTTTGAAGTTATCAGTGCTGAATTGTTTTAAAAAGTAAACTGTGCAGTCCATCTTATGTTCAGACTAGTTGGATAAGTCACTGGTATGTTCCATGGGCTATTTTATTGGAGTGGTTGTTTTTTTAGATTCAGTGGTTTTTTTCCTCCATGGGTTTCCCTTTGCTGTTACTCAGGTTTGGAATCTGATACTGAACCATTTGTAGGACTGCAAAGAAAAGAAAGGATGTGAATCATTTGGATTAGATTGCAAAGAGTTATGAAGTCATTCAGTGTGGGTTTGTCCTAGAATCTCTTGTCCAGTCTGCAGCATAGCAAATGATAAGCCTTATATTGTTTACTTGTGGAGACTTTCCCCTAATCTTCTGAAAGAAGTTGCTTCTCCCTCTGTTATTATTCCTTGCTACTGTTACCAATTTACCTTTGCTTGCTAAATGACAGCCAATTTCAACATTTCTTGCATGATTTTGTAGTTGACGTGGCTAGATTGTTTAGCTTAAGTGTGATGTTATCTTAAGAGGATAAGACATTCTGTATAGCATTATATCCCACCCTCGCCCCCAGTAAAAAAGTTAAACTTCATTGCAGAATCTTATTGGATTACAGAACTGTTTAGAACAGTTGAACTAATGTGAAGTAGTGTTGGTATAAAGAGCTGAAAGCATAATTTCTCAATAGTATTTTGTCAGAACTTGCATAATAGTGTGCCATTATTAAGCAAAGTACTGAATGTTTGTTTGATTTCTTTCTAGTAATATTTATTTTTACATCTATTTTTCTGGCTGTTAGGTGCCTATGTATCTTTTGCCTCCACTAAAATAATAATTGGAATATGTAGTCTATATTTTGCACTCCGTTTTCTCCTGTCATTTCTTAAATATTTATTTCCAGTATTTATTCAACAAAGTTCTTTGTAAAGTGGCACTAACAGTGTTGTTTGCTTAGGCTGGCTGTCCTCCATGAGTGTATGTAGCTAGAAAAAGTAATACATGTATTAGATATAACAAATCAAGGATTATCTGTTTTTAGTAATCTTATTTTTCTAAAAATGTCCCATTAGTAGGGCATAACAACATTTAAATTGTCACACATTTCTGTCATCCTATATACAAGATTTGTATTGGTGATTGTAAATTTCTTTCAGCCTAGAAATTGAAAGGGTTCCTATTTTCTTTTTGAGGAAAAATCCAATTCCAAGTGTTGCTGGTAATTTTGGTAATTTGACTGCAGTGGAAGACAAGAGAATTCCCATAAGGGCTTAAAAGAGCACCTTTGGGTTTGTTGGAGAAGGTTATCTCTTAACCAAGTACCAGGTGGCAGAGGGTGTTTATTATCTTCATGTTCTGACTCCCAGCTGCTTGAATTTGAAAGCAGAATGTAAGGCTGACCTTTGGTCTGATCCAGCACAGCAGTTTCTTTGGCCACTTAGCAATACAGGGATTTGTTGCTGTTCCTGCTAGCTGACCCATATGAAACAGCCAGTCCACTTCCTGCCTTGCACTGCCTTGAAACTGGTGTCCTTTGTCCTTAATCTGCTTGAAAAGTGCTCAAGCAATATGTGAAAGAAGCTCACTGAAATACTAAAATCTAGAATGCTTTGTAGTACATTGTTCTTCTTAAGTAATGAACTAACATGTATATGTTATATTTAAGTTTACAATAATCTGACTCACTTTGGAGATGCAAAGCACCAAATAATACTATAGATTTTAACCCAGGTCCCCAAATAGACTCCACACCTAAAGATACAATGTTGCTTCTGAAATATATTCAAGCCTTTGCTCTGATCTTCAGGTGGAGGGAAATCCATAAATATAGAGTAACCCTTGCCTTAATATTTTATTCAGACATTGTGCTCAGATCATGCTGTTAAATGGTCTCTATTGATCAGAGTTGAAAATATTAAGTACAAGGTAATTTCAAGGGTGTGCAGTGCTTAAATATATTGAGGGTTTTGATCACAACCAGTACGCCAGTGTTTTTCCCTGGAAGATTGCAGGAAGGCATTTCAGAGTCAAGAGCAGTAGCAGAAACCTGATGTGTTGTAAATTATCGAATATCTCAATTGATTGCAGATCAAACCAATCTTGAACTTTGTTCAGAAAGTATAGGTGTTTGATGGAAGGAAGAACACATATGTATTTTCTTTTGCTTTGCTCACATATATGAGCTTGTACTTACCATATATACTCATGCATAAGTTGACTTCATGTAAAAGTCAAGGGTGGGTTTTGGGGCCAAATTCATGGATTTATATATATATATATGCCCTGTAGATAAGTTGAGGGTCATTCCACAGAAAGGGGAAAGCACCAATTCTGTCTCAGGACGAAGTACTCAAAATTCCAGAATTGGCACCACGACACAGAGAGTAGAGATCAGTTCAGCTCTTAGGTTCTCCCAGGATGGACTAAGCTCTTACCTTTCACCACTGTTCTCAGAGAAGGGGATCATTCCTTTTTTTCAATGAGATGTAAAGTCAAGTACACTCATATTGACTCATAGATACACCAACTCAGGTTTTTTGGGT